TATTAGATTGAGCTATTTGCATATATAGAAATAGTTGAAATAAAAAATACACAAATGTAGTATTGTTACGCCTGAAAATTAAACATTTGGGTAAAAAATAATCAGAAATCTTTATTGTCCGATATGTTTACACATGCATTTTGTTTCCTGACCAAAGTTTCCACAAAAACCACAAAACCACAGGAGCTAGAAAAATAAATAAACATAAATGAATAGAGAATACAAAATGCACACAATGACAAATGTGTGTACATGTATATTAATATATACAATATTGCATGTATAGCTATATTATGCGCAAATTGAAATGTAAATGACCTATGCTTGGTAACCAAATAAGTGTATGTACTGTCTGTCTATAAATATTGCTCTTGTCTCACAATTATTAAAAATAAACCTGTATTCAAATCTTTTATATTTTTTAAATAATGTTTATTTGATTTTCTAGCTAAAAATAACACTTTTAAACCAAATTATGTTTTTTTTTATTGTTTTAATAAAGTAATTGAAGAAATAAATGTAACAACATTAATATTTTGTGAAAACTGTTTTTAAAAAAGTCATTAAAAATAAAAGACGGATAATAATAATAATAAAATAATAATAATAACATTTTTAAATAAAATTAATAATTATTTTACCTTAAACCATTTTAAACCATTAGTAAACCACAAATGTATAAATAATGACCCCTTTAACTCCCCTAAACTCTCTCTTTCGCTCTCTTTTTTTTTTTTTTTTGTTGTTAATATTTCCCAAAATATGTTTAACAGATCAGGGAAATTTTCACAGTATGTCTGATAATATTTTTTCTTCTAGAGAAAGTCTTATTGATATATTTTGGCTTGAATAAAAGCAGTTTTTAATGTTTTTAAAATGATTTTCAGGTCAAAATTAAGGCCCCTTTAAGCTATATATATTTTTTGAAAGTCTGCAGAACAAACTATCATTATTCAATAACTTGCCTAATTACCCTAACTTGTCTTGAAAAGTATCAAGTAAAATATTGTTTACTGTCAACATGGCAAAGATAAAATTAATCAGTTATTTGAAATAAGTTATTAAAATTGTTATGTTTAGAAATGTGTTGAAAATCTTCTCTCTATTAAACGGATATATATATATATACTAATATATATATACTAATAAATTCAGTTTCTTATTAGGTGTATTTGTGACATTAAAATGTATCACTTTGCATTCAGCTCATCCATTGTCTTTTCTCATTTCACGCTTACCCTGAGAATTAAATTAATAATCATCTCATTTATAGCACCATGCTGAGTCGGAGCGACAGCTGTTGCTGTCAATTTATTAAAAGACCTTTTATGCACTTTTGGTTCATCACATTAATCCCACTAATGTAAACAGCCTTAAAAACAATAAACTTATAAATCTCGTTAGCTAAAGATAGATACTGTTAAATAAAAGATAGTCTTTAACAAGACATCTGACATTTTCCTTTTTTGATTTGACTCAAATATCATTCATAACGTCACTCTTCAAAATATTAGGACTGCAGGTCATAATTAAGTCTTACCACAGTCATCTTTGAGTGAAACTGTCTGTTGATCGCAGGGTTTCTGTGGAACGCAGCTTCATTCTATCAGGAGTCCTCGTATCTTCACTTCCCCACACTTCAAGCTGAGCTGAGTGTCGACATCTCGCTGTATTTCAAGACCACCGCTCCCTCAGGGGTCTTCCTGGAGAATCTGGGCACTAAAGACTTCATTAGACTGGAGCTCAGCGGTGAGTCTCTTTATATTGATGGATAGACATGAGCTGGAAGTCACAAAAACCATCTTTTCAGGTGAAGGAAAGTTCCGAAACATCTTTAAAGGTCAGAATATTAAAAATACGCTGAGGGGTGAAAGGATCTGCTCACTTTTCTGATGATTTAAAGAATAATAACTTTTAATTAAAATGTCTGATATAACTATTCAGCACTAAATGTATATTAATAGTTAATACTTTACAATATTATTAGTATAAAGTATTGAAATGATAAAATTGCTACATTGTTTTATTCAGTTTGCAATCTCACTGTTATAATTAAATATGAATTACAAAATGGCATTAAAATATTTGTTGTATTATAATGTATGTTATATGTATGTATATATATATATATATATATATGTATCTATATGTATATACATATACATATATATTCATTTATTTATTTATTTATTTATTTATATATTTATATTTATTTATTTATATTGGATCTCGGTATCTACATATGTATAAAGTATGATCTGAACAAATTCCTCGACAGGTTTAATAAGTTTCAACCCATCTGATTGACATCTTAGCAACACAAGTGTATAAATAAAATGGTAAAAGTAGCTCATATTCGTATCATGCCATTAGCATGTGCGGCACAGAGGAGACGACGCAGCCAGATTCAGTCCAAAGAGCAGTTTCCCTGAACTGTGCTGCTGTTTTGCTGCAGCTCAAACCATCAGCTGTGTAATTACTGTACACAGTTCACTGAGGCTGTTCATCTTCATCATGGTGCCTGCCTTCATCTTTTCCATATATTTTCCCTCATGTGTAGGGGCTATTTTCTCTACCTAGAGTTTCTATGATACACAGTCTTTGTGTAAAAGGTGTAAATGCTTTAAAAGGAGACACTAAAGATGAAATGTTAGTTTTTTTTTGTTGTTAATGTAGCTGTTAATGTTGATATTTTGGTCTTTTTGGCTTTTCATAAAGAAAGCGAGTAAAATACAGTTTTTGAGTGTTCCGTTTGTCTCACTGTATCATTTTGTGTCTGTAGATTTCAGTTACAATAAACATTTTTAAGGCCTGTTTAAAAACAAAAAGCTTTTCTTTTCCACTTCAGCATCTTTACACATACAGTATACCAAACTGCGCAGGCACATGTTCTTACTGATGTATTTAGTTATACATTATTTTCCTTCCTACAACATTTTATTTTACAAACACTTGTGAAAATGTTTTTTTTTTTTATTATTTTCTCCCTCGCTGTTTGCAGTATTCTCTGAAGTAATAAAACAATATTCCCAAATTCATATTCAGTGACATACTAATATGTCAGTCAATCAAGTGATCGATCGATCTGAATTTTGGAGAAATAAAAAGTGTTTCCCAAAATTCATACTCACTGACTTAATTTAATATTTCTATCAATCAATCATCTAACCAACCAATCAGTCAGTCAGTCAGTCAGTCAGTCAGTCAATCAATCAATCATCCAATCAATCAACCTGATTTATGGAGTAATATGCAGTAGTTCCCAAAATTCATACTCGCTGAAATATTCCAATATTTCAATCAATCAATCAATCAATCAATCAATCAATCAATCAATCAATCAATCAATCAATCAATCAATCAATCAATCAATCATCAAATCATCCAATCAATCAACCAATCAATCTGATTTGTGGAGTAATATACAGTGGTTTCCAAAATTCATACTCGCTGACATATTCCAATATTTCAATCAATCAATCAATCAATCAACTAATCAATCTGATTTATGGAGTAATATACAGTGGTTGCTAAAATTCATACTCACTGACATATTCCAATATTTCAATCAATCAATCAATTAATTAATCAACCAACCAATCAACCGATCAATCTGATTTGTGGAGTAATATACAGTGGTTCCTATAAGTCATACTCACTGACATACTCGAATATTTCAATCAATCAATCAATCAATCAATCAATCAATCAATCAATCAATCAATCAATCAATCAATCAATCAATCAATCAATCAATCTGATTTGTGGAGTAATATACAGTGTTTAACAAAATTCATACTCACTGACAAAATTCAATCAATCAATCAATCAATCAATCAATCAATCAATCAATTAAAATTGTGGAGTAATAAAAGGTGATTCCCATAATTCATACTCAATGATATACTCTAATATTTCACCTAACCAGCCATCCAACCAACCAGTCAACCAATCAACTAATCAATCTGAATTATGGAGTAATAAAAGGTAATTTCCATAATTCATACTCAATGACATACTCTAATATATTTGATCTATCTAATATAATTGTGTAAAATTATACTTGTACAAGTACATTTTAAGCCTATTCATCAGCAGTGTTTTGCAGGAAAGTCTACCTTTCACGACCACCTGTTAGCATATTTGTTAGCTGCATCTAAAATTGCATTCGACTCGAGGAGAGACTACATTCAAATTTAAATTTATTTCACAACCATTAGAAAAGTATGTTCTGTACAGTATAAATATAATTACTACGATTGAAACTCATATGTACTACATCCGCCATTTATCATTATCACATAGCCTGATTCAGTTCAGTTACGTTGGTTATAACTCATTCATAAATGATCTTGGGTGGCCTCAGGGGATAGTAAATGCATTGGATGCAGACACAATTTCTCCAGAGGTGGTACTTTAAAGTTGTTTGGGATGTTCTTGCCTACTGTTTTTTAAATACTATGAATTTGCACATACCACCTGGTACACATATAGTGTAGAAGTGAAGTATGCAATTTTGAACGCACTGATTGTGATTTCTCAATTTTATTCCTCTCTGCCCCAATCTGATCCCCACAGGGCCCTCTGTGGTAACCTTCACGTTTGACGTAGGCAACGGCCCGGTAGTTCTGACGGTGAAGTCTCACGTTCCTCTGAATGACAAGCAGTGGCATTACGTTCGATCGGAGAGGAATGTGAGGGAGGCGTCGCTGCAGGTGGACCAGCTGCCCTTACGCTTCCTGGAGGCTCCATCCGAAGGCCACACCCACCTTCAGCTCAACAGCCAGCTGTTCATTGGTAGGCACAGCCTTGAGAGACAGCGGGGCACCAGAGAATAATAGCCCTGTGCCTATACACAGATGTTCTTAATAGAGTTTAAATGCTAATTATTTGAATATAAATTCAGGCGTTGTTACTGAAGTCGCCATGAAATGGATTTTTTAATAGTCGTTTGTTGTTGATATTTGAATAAACTGATTCTAAAAGCAACTTCATTTTGTATCGAATGGAATTTTTGTCATATTTACATTTGAAGCTTCTCTTGAGGTTTTAGAATTAAGATTTCAATGCCTGTCGTCATATTTTGACAAAATCAAAATACTCTAAAAAAAGTGAACTTTTTGTGTATTTTAGTTTTTTAGTTGTGTACAAGTCACTAGATCGCTCTCCAAGGTGCGTACCTCACTTCGTTGGGCAAGCAGGACGGCAACGTTTTTTTTACCTGATTGAAAATGTCTTTTGGAAACATTATAAGCAAAATGATGTTTTTGCTATCATAAAAGTTATATTTTTGTTAGCAGAAAATTGCTAGATAGCAGATGGACGCATATTCAAAGACACAGGAAAAAGTAGCGAATGCTGAAATGCATGCGGACAATTTGATCGTTTTGGCCATTCAATGTAAAAGAAAACTCTGAACTCTTTTCTGTTTTGCCATTTTGGTTAAATAACAATGCTAGGATGAATTATAAACACATTTGGGAAAAGTGAGGTTACTATAGGTATATATGAAAACGCTAAACTTAAAAAATGGCTGCCTTGGTAGTTGTAATGAAAACACACATTTGAGAAAACAGTGCTCTTCCCTGATATATTACATTCGGTCTATGAGCGCATGTGACTACTTGACAGTCCAAAACAACAATGGCAGACTACAGGGCTACGCTTGTGTGGCTCAGGATAGTGAGTGATATCACCATCTATTGGCCTGGCATGCAAAATACGGCATCTTTAGTCATTTTTGCTTAATATATGTGAACAGAGATTGTTTTGATAACGTCGTCTATTGGCAAGACATTACAAACCTCGAATAGATGCAAAGCAATTGCAGCACCTTTACCCCTGTATAGAACACCCATTGAAAAACTACTGGAGTATGACCAGGGGTTGTTGTAAGACATTTATTACTTTTTATTACTATTTTTTAATCAACATCAGTGAAGTTACCATGTATGGTTAAGTGCCCAATAACTTATTAAAATTTCCATAGTATAATATATATAAATTTTTTCCCCTGTAATCTGCAGGAGGTACAGCATCGAGGCAGAGAGGATTTTTAGGGTGCATCAGGTCATTAAACATCAACGGGATGACGCTTGACCTTGAGGAACGGGCTAAAATGACCCCCGGGGTCAGTTCGGGATGTCCAGGTCATTGCAGCAGCCAAAACAGCTTGTGTCACAACAGGGGGAAGTGTATTGAGAAGAGCAGCGGATACGTTTGTGACTGCACACACTCTGCCTACGGAGGACCCAACTGCAAAAAAGGTACACTGTTATTATTGACGGGGAACACTGCATGACTTTATTTGTTGTTGGTGTTACGATAGATTGCAACCACATGAAATGTACAAGATTATTAGCTTCAATCAAACACATATCCGCCATTGGCAAATAAAGTCAGTTTGTAGTTCTGCCGCTCTGATTACATTACTACAACATTGGTTCTGCTCACGCAGAACTCCGCAGATTTTAACCCATCATTAATTCTGTTTATTTACTCGAGTCAATGTGTGTAAATTTAAATTTCAGTTTTTAAATTAATTACAGTGATATTATTGACTAATATAAACATGTTCATCTGATTTACGCACAATGTAGTTTATACAGTAATATTTTCTGTCTTTTAGTAGGTATATTATATGAGGGACTTGCTTTGTTTACTAAATAAAGTGGATTTGCATTTTAAACATAAATAAAAGTTAAACAATATCTTATTTTTTATTTCACATATTAGGGTTTTAGTAATGATACTCCCAAAACAATTCCGCAGAAATCCGCTGATTTTTACCAAAATTCTCAGCAGAAATAGCAAAAAAACGTCTGCAAATTCCGTCTGGCCCTAGTCATGACTTTTGACATGAAAAATTACAATGTTTATTTTGCTTGCACACATTGTTAGATTTGACGTGAACATGCAAGTTAATCCATGAAAAAAACTTTTTGTCACTTTTAAATTATAAGGTTTTATCTGCATTCTAAATGATTTTAAGATATTGAGCTTCAAAGTTTTTGCATTCCTTATAGCAAACAGTATGAGTGTAACAGTTCTCTTTCATACATTAACATGACAGAGACCCTCAATGTGCTCTAAATGTAAATTATCAAAATTATCTTACATTTGCAAATTGGAGTAAAATAACACTGTAAATGCAGATAGAACCTTCTCATTCTGAAAAATCATTTTTCACTTGGAATTATAAGGTTCTATTTGGCAGATCATTCATTGAAGCATTACTTTTCAAGAAATACAATCAAAAAAGTATAAATTGGTGTTGTAGCAATATGTTGATGCTTGAGAAAGTAAAATGTTTGTTTCTATAACATTTATTCCATGTTTTAGGATGAATATCATTTCTTGTTCAAATTAAGCATACAAGGTTGTGCTAAATGTTTTATCCCATGCAGATGTTAATTTTATCTAATAAATATAGTAATATTTCTTACATTTTATGCTTTATATGAATTATGCAATAACGTTTATTGAATTAGATGTCCCAAAAATTAAATTAAGTATTTGCCCTTCAGGGAAGACTTTTAAAAGAAAACAAACAATGAGCTTATGAGCTTAATAAACACTAAAAAAAAAATGTTTCACTTACCATATGTACTGTACAAAAAAATAAAAACTACATTTATAATTTTAATATTCATTTCTTTTTCAACAGTGTAAAATTTAACATTTTATCTCAGTGTCAAAAACATGCTTCCAAATGCTTCTCAACTTTGTGTGGTGCAGCATTATTTAGTCCACTCTGATTTTGTCTTTCTGGTCTTTCCTGCTGTCAATGGAGCAGTCCGGGAAATGACAAAGAAAGCCAATCTTGATTGGTCCTCATGCGTGCATTAAAAATGCTGATCGGGTCACAGGAAGAACCTTATAGAGCCAAGCTAGAGTTCAACTTTTGTAGATAAAACCTTTTTTGTTTTTAAATAAAAAGTCTTAAAATGTAAACAACATCACATAATAAGTTGTCATTTAATAAGAATAAGTGAAAAACTCAATTTTGAGAAAAATGTCAGAGAGAAACTTATAATTCTCAGGTGATGAATTATTTTGGTAATCTTCAAACAAAATCTCCCCAAACCTACAGCAGTCCTTCTATGAAAACATCAGTTTGACAGCTTGACTGAAACATGCTTAGCCACGTCTCTCCAACCGTTAGTTTGCTGCAAGTGAAAGATGAGATGAGAAGAGGAGTGCAAAAATATGACCCCACTCCCCCTGCTTATGCCTCAATCACACTAGCAGCGACTTTGTAGCTGCCTGTCGCTCTGGGTGGCAATTGAAACTGGTGTGGACGTTCCCACCTTAATGTTACTTGGGTATCGTTTATAGTGATATTCAGAGATATGAATGCTTAGTTACAAAGATGATCAAGAAAAAAGGGTGTTCTCTGTGATTGCAACTATTTATCTGCTGCAGACACAAGTCTGTATAGATCTACAACATAGAGAATACAACCGGCTATGTGAGCTCCACTGGTGCTCCTATTGGCTGTCTAGTCGCTCTTTATTTGCATAAAGTTAAAGGATTTTTACCTTTGTTGTGTCACTCGACATGCCCACCTTTGCGTCAACTTTCGCTCATATTGACAGAGCTCGTCGGAAGTTGGTCACTCTCCATTGATATGAACGATCGATTGACGCTTTGCTGCTGCCAGTTGCTCGCAATTTGAATGCAGCTTTAGTATTCAATTACAGTTGGAAGCATGTCATCGTACTGAACAAAAAAAAAAAACGGCATCAACTTTTGGTTTACGTGGACTTTAGTTTTATTGTATTAGCATTAAAAAGGCTTTCTGAATGTTTGGCTTTAGATTTTGTTGAATTAGCATTACCAAAACCTCCTGTCTTTTTTACAATTTATACATATCAGTGCTATCAAAGTTTCATTTTCACGTAATTTTGTTGTATCAACATTAACAAAGTTCCAATCTTTTTTTAATTGTTGTGTACATATTTTGCTGTCATTTTTTGTTATTTTTGCATATAATTTTCATTTACTAACAATGTTAAATGCTTTTTGTTTTACCTATGTTCTTACATTTTATTTTTGTAGTAATTTGATCAAAAATAATTCTGTTATGGTTTTATATACTATATATTCAAAGTAAAATGTCAAATTACATGTAAACAAAACTCTAACGGACCATCTCAACATGACAAACCCGTCCCTCTCCGACTATGACAATCTCAGTGGTTTTTAGATTGTCTTTTTGCTCAAGGGAAAGGTTCATCGTCAAAACAGTTTGAAAAAAATGCTTGTTTTTAACTTCAGTATCCTCCTCACTCTTCCACGCCGAATCAAAGAGCCTTCCAGAAGGAGGACGTTTAAAAGCTCGGTAACCTTGATTTCTGCAGACGCCGCCGTGCCCACAGATTGCACCTGATCAAAGCTGATCGAGATAAAACATGAGACATTCAGTGCTGTTCTGCTCTTCTCTGTCTATCTCTCTGTCTCTATACGACTTGCGCTTTTGACCAGGAATTTCACTCAAAGGGCTGCAATCTGACTAATACCAGTGGAATTGCATTAAAATGTGGTCATTTTTGCCCTAAAAAAAATCATCCTTAAATTTTTGTAATTTAGTCATATTAGTGCTAACAAATTTAGCTCTTTGTTGTTATTTTAGCACTAATATAAGGCTTACTTTACGAGGGTTTAAAAAACAGATAATTTTTTTCTACTCAATTTAGTTTCAAGCAATTTAGCTTTACCAGCGCAAACAAAGCTTTCTATTATTTTTGCAATCACGTTTCAGCCACTAGCGCTACCAAATGTGTTTTTTTTGCACTTTATTTTGTTTTACTAAAAAGCATTTCTAGACATTTACATAATAATTATTATTTTTGTACTGGTACTTTTGCTTACAATGTTACTGACTTTTTTTTTTTTTTTTTGAAAACGTTTCTTTTGATTTGACGCTTACTTTTGTTGTCCAATTAAAGGGTTTTCTGTGTTATGTGAAATTTTGTTGTGCTAGCATTCAGTTTGTCATATATAAATATTTGGGAGGTTTGTCTTTTTTAGGGAATAAAAAATCAAATGTAACCTCTGATGCTGTGTTCACACCAGATGAGTAACACGCAGATAAATCACAATATTCATGTGATAATTGACTTGTAAACATTTTGACTTTACTTGCTTTGTTTGCATGTCAAATTCACTTCACAATAAACAGATTCGCATCATGGTTAGGGCTTCTGTGTGGCTAGCTTCGTTGCCAAATAACTAACATGTATTTTATTGAGAGATTAGCTGTGCTTTAGGAGGGCTGAAAAACAGCATAGATTTGTTCGTGGTCAAATCCACTAGATCCTGATTTCAGAGATGCACCAAGCTCCTCCAGAAACTATACCAGGAGGATGGAAGCTTTCAGCTGTGCTTCTGACTGAGCCCAGCCCAGTTTGCTTAACTGTTGTCCGGTGTCGCCAGGAGGATTTCCCCTTCGGGATACCAACAACAGGCACTATGTCATGATCATGCCACTACAAGAGTAAGCTCCTGATTGGTTAATGCAGCGCAAATGTCCTCTGAAGTATAATTTTCCAACTCAAGCGATTCTAGCTCAAGACATGATATGCACATTAAGTGCTACAAACGCACAAAACGTTCAACTCGCATTAATTTGTGTGAATAGCACTGCAGGAAGTCCATTCGTGTCTTTGCATTGATTTAACATGAAAATCACTCGTGCTTGATGCTTCATCAACATCTGGTGTAAACCAAAAATTAAAGGAATAGTTCTCGCAAAACTTGCCACAAACACTTTTAAGTTTCTTTCTTCTGTTGATAACAAAACATGTAAAAATTTATGAAACGGGTAACAATTGTCTTCCATAGTATTGTTTTTCCAATGGAACTTAATAGTCACCAATTTCTAATACTCTTCAAAATATCTACTTTTGTATTTAGCTGAAAAAAAGAGACTCATAAAGGTTTAAGTGGGGTTTATTTATAAACTAATTTCGAGAGGATTGTGTGTTTATGATTGAACACAGCTGGTCACGCATTAGCCAATTCATGATTCACCAATCAGACGATTCCAAAGTCACTATAAATACCCGAAGTTCCATTTCACAGCCATCTTCATTTGGAAGAATCCCCCCTTCCACCCCTACTCCTCCTCCTTTCTTTGACAGATGACACAGTGGCCCAGTGGTTAGCACTGTTGCCTCACACCAAGAACGTCACTGGTTTTAGTCTTTATCAAGCCAGATGATGTTTCTGTGTGGAGTTTACATGTTCTCCCCATGTTCACGTGGGTTTTTCCTGGGCCCACCAGTTTCCTTTCATCTTCCAAAAACACACAACTTAAGTCAATCGACTAATCCAAATCAGCACCATTGAAATGCTCTTGGGAAGTAGTTATCGCTTAAGAGCAATCACTATCTGTTCATTAGCTACTAAAGCAAGAGAGTTGTCGAGATCTACCTGAGCTCAAATTCCCCTCTCGCCCTGCAATGTAAGGGAGCCCTAGGCTCGAGGATCTTATGAGCTCAAGGCTCTCTCCCGGGACACCATGCCAAACATGCTTTATAATCAACCATCAGCTAAAAGTGAACTCTTGAAAAACACTTGAGTAAATAATGTGTACATTTTCATTTTTGCGTGAACGGTCACTTTTTGCATTCCCACCTGAAAGTGATATGTAATACGTCAGCCTGATCTCATGAGAAACGTGAGTATTTTACATTTTGTCAGTTTAGTTCAGTCGTACGAAAACGTACGATTTGCAAATGAAGGTGTGGCACCCAACCCCACTCCTAATCCTAACCGTCATTGGGTGATGAGCAAATCATAGTAAATTGTACGAATTAGATTGTACAAATTCATACAAATTACCACTAAATCAAAAAGTTATGAATTGCCGTAAGATTGCGTTGAATATGTGCATATACATGTAGTTTGTCAGGATAACTTCAGGTATTGATCAAATTTATGAATTGTTGTTTGATTTTAATTAGTTTTGTCACAATTGTGGAATTTGATACCAATCGGTAATGAAATTTTAAAAACGTCCATTTCCTGCTAACATTTGAGCGCGTTCTCAAACAGCGCTGATTTGCCATTGTGTTCACGTGCTAAACAGAAAATACTTTTATTGGGCGTGAAAGTCGTCAATTCAATAAATTCACAGCTGTTCACTGAGTGTAACCACAGATACAGGGCTACTGGAGCATTTTAAAGCTGTAAAGATCAGTCGATTTATCAGCGAAACTCCATGGACGTTTTTAGGGTGACGCTGTGGCGCAGTAGGTAGTGCTGTCACCTCACAGCAAGAAGGTCACTGGGTCCCTGGTTCGAGCCTAGGCTGGGTCAGTTGGCGTTTCAGTGTGGAGTTTGCATGTTCTCCTTGCATTCTCGTGGGTTTCCTCCGGGTGCTCCGGTTTCCCCCACAGTCCAAAGACATGTGGTACAGGTGAATTGGGTAGGCAAAATTGTCCGTAGTGTATGAGTGCGTGTGTGTGAATGAATGTGTGTGGATGTTTCCAGAGATAGGTTGCGGCTGGAAGGGCATCCGCTGCGTAAAAACATGCTGGATAGATTGGTGGTTCATTCCGCTGTGGTGACCCCGGATTGATAAAGGGACTAAACCGAAAAGAAGATAATTGAATGAATAGACGTTTTTAATTTTTCAGTACTGTTTGGTATTAAATTCCAGTATTGTAACAACCCTCATTTTAATATGGACCAGATTATAAATCTGATATAGAGGTTTTTACCTATATACTTAGAATAAAATCTCAAATTAAATCTTAAGGAGACTTGCAAAACAGTCCTTGAGTTACAATCTTTGTAACCTTGATTTCTGCAGACACTGCTGTGTCCACAGTTTGCACCTGATCAAGCTGAACTGGATAGAACACAAGCCATTCAGCGCAGTTCTGGATACGACTTGCGTCAATGACCATGAACCGCGGTTGTTTGGATGAATTTCGCTCAAAGGGCTGCAACCTGAGCGGTCCCAGCAGAGCATCCCTGCCCATCACATTCAATGCTAAACCTCTCGCCTGTCAATACAGCCTTTATCACATTTGATCCTGCGATACGCCAGACAGCCGAGCCATTCAGCACTCCGTGAATGAGGCTTTGCGTTTTCTTTATTGGACTCCAGAGGGATGGTGTTTCCATCCTGATAATATTATGAGTAAATGAACACCATGAGATGCCCCAGGGGTCGGTTTCAGTCCAAGCATAATTTTGCATTCATTTAAAGTTTAAATGATTCATTTCCTCCGCATTTGTCCACTCAGCAGCGTGTCCTTGGTGTTCGACAGCGCATTAATATGCTGATATGGAAACAAAAACAGCAAAATCGCTGTCTAGGATCTGCCCACGAGCGTTTGTGACAATGCTTTTTGTGTTTTTCTTCCTTTGCAGAGGTTTCCGTGTCATTTGAAAGCGGGTCCTCGGTGACCTACACCTTCCAGGAGCCGTTTTCTGTGATGCGCAACCACAGCCGTCAGTCCTCCGCGATCTTCGCCCAAAGCAGCAATTCACGGGAGAGCATCGCTTTCAGTTTCCTCACAACTCAGACGCCTGCCATGCTTCTGACCGTCAACACCTATCATCAGCAGTACATGGCCATTATTCTGGCTCACAATGGTATTTATAGTTTATATTGATTTTGATGGGCTCAAGTCGTTGTTTTTTCATCCCTTTAAATGAAATGAATGCAATATTATTTGACTTTTTCAAAACAAAATGGTATTTCTCCATCCATTTTTAGTGTAACAAGCGTATTGCTTCAAGTTAACAAATATTGTGCTGCATAGTTTATTGTAATATACTTTTTGAATCCTAACATTGTTTGTTCTACAGCCTTAATTATTTGTTTATATATATATATATATATATATATTAGAGCTGCACAATTCTGGCTAAAATTAGAATCACAATTTTTTTGCTCAAAATAAAGATCACGATTTTTTAACGATTCTGTATATGTAAAATAAAGTTATGGTAAAAACAAACATATGGCAAAACATCAATAATAATATTATGTGTAGGTTTACTGGTTTTTATAAATAATTATATTCTATTTATAATAATTCTGATGTTGAATTATTATGTTTGAGATGTATGCTTGCAATCTGTCATACCAGATAAATTTATTCACTGGTAAAATCAGACATTTGCCATTATCAGATTATATTCAATATTGAATATTATATTAAATATTGAATAATATTTACAACTGTATTACCTGTTACTTGCAACATATGCAGGTTCTGTTCACTAAAGTAGACGCGCGCGCGTCTATCAATAAGTAGACGTGCCCTCTCTGTCATAACAGCTCACGGTCAGCAGCTCGTCACGTGTGATTTCCTGGCCGCGAAAACATCAAGACAAAAATAAAATTTTTAGGTGAATTATACCTTATAAATACATTATGTGACTCATTCAACATCATTTGGATGTGTCAATGTCACTGAGCAACGGATGTGAAAAGACTCGTGCAGCCGCCTTTTCTTCTCTCCTGAACTTGAAAATATGATTGACAGAATTGTACAAATGCTGGATTAAGATCGTCTAGGGCAGGGGTCACCATTCTCGGTCCTGGAGGGCCAGTGTCCCTGCAGGGTTTAGCTCCAACTTGCCTCAACACACCTGCCTGGATGTTTCAAGTATACCTAGTAACACCTTGATTAGCTTGTTCAGGTGTGTTTGATTAGAGTTGGAGTTAAAATCTGTAGGACACCAGCCTTCCAGGAACAAGTTTGGTGACCCCTGGTCTAGAGCGTCGAATCGAGATCGTGATCTTTTAGCGATTAATTGTGCAGCTCTAATATATACATATACATGTATGTGTATGTGTGTATATATATATATATATAT